CCCTCCCCCCTCTCATGTGCTCTCTCTCAAATAAATAAATAAAATATTTAAAAATATATATATATTTAAAAAAAAAAGAGTGAACAGTTGGAAAGCTCCACCTGCTGGGGCTCTTTCCTGTACACCATACTTCAGCAGAGTCACTTCTCTCATTTATGATTATTCTTATTCTCTGTTGTAGTGAAATCTGGTTTTTATCTTTCAATTTACTGAAAATTGTTGCATCACAAGCTTTAGTGGGGTTACCTCCTCCCTCCTCGCATTTGCCCAGAGTCCTGGTAGGAGAGGGTGCACTGTTGGCCGCTCTGAACTTCCTCGCCTAGGATGTGAGGTCTGTGAGTGTGATGAATCCCCTCCTGCCTCAGGGAGTTTGAGACTGCGGACTCTACACTTTCTGCCATTTCCATCCCATACCTGGTAAACTGACCGATGGTAGGAAAAGGAACAAAATGATCCTTGTCCTGGAGAGGTTGAGGAACCCCCGCTGTGTCCTCAGCCCTTGGGGTGTTGCTGGAGGACTGTGGGTATTTACTGTCTTAGCAAGAGAGAGCAGGCTCCCTGCCTGCCACTCATCGAATGACCACCTCCGTGTTGCATCGAGATACATTTTGTTCCTTTGTGCATTTTCACCTCTTGCTCCGTGTCCAGACGAAAAGAAAAGCATACAGTTTTGGGGGGACACTTTCCCCATTCCAAAGGAAATGCTTTTCTTTTTTTCACAGTACCAAGCAGATAATTACAGCTAGCATTTACTGAGCGCATACCACATACAAAAGAAGGATAAGGAAGCAGATACTGGAACGGCGCAGGTGTCCCCGTGAATAAATGCTGGAGCCCGAGTCTGGTGCGGGGTGCGTGCCTCTTCACCACCGCGCCGCGCTGTCCCGTCCCTGCAGCTGGATAAGTGGTGGTGGAAGAGGGAACATGCGAACGTGGGATCTGTTGCTGTGGCAGTGCAGATGAGGGAGCAGCTAGGCCACAGAGAAGAAGTAGCTGTGACAGGCCTTAAAAGAGAAGTTGGCTTGTCGGGTAGACAGTGGGAGGGCACGCAGAAGCAGCAGTGCTCGCGAACACACGAGGCACGGCGGCACTTGTGCTCAAAGGAGGCCTCCCTGCAGCCATCTGAGTAGTGAGCTACAGGTTGTACTCGGTGCTAAGGTTACTACTGCTTCCTGGGATCAGCCTGGCTCCTTTTATTCTATTTTATTTTTTAATTTTTTCATTTTATTTATTTGCGAGAGGGAGGGAGCGCAGAAGCAGGGGGAGCGGCAGGCAGAGGGAGAAGCAGACTCCCCGCTGAGCAGGGAGCCCGATGCGGGGCTCGATCCCAGGACCCTGGGATCATGACCTG